AGCAAAAGTTCTTGGTGGCGAGCCACAAATGAGTTAAGTATACAGTGAGAGCTAACACAAGAGAACCGGGTTTCTGAGCAGAAGACCATTCACAGACTTGCCACCGTCATCCCTGGGAGAGTTGATACAAAGGAGACGGAGAGACGAGGCTGGAGAGAAGCCGTTTCCGCACCCCAGAAAGGAGACCTACGAAGGTCAACTCTAGTTTCTTACTGTTTCTCACAGTCTTGGCTACTTCCTCTTCTTTTTTTAAGGGATTTTTAAAAAAAACTTTGTTTTTTAGTTGTAGATGGATACAATACCTTTATTTATTTATTTTTATGTGGTACTGAGAATCAAACCCAGGACCTCACACGTTCCAGGCAAGCACGATGCCACTGAGCCACAACCCCAGCCCCCAGTCTTGGCTTCTTTTAGGAACTAATATTCTCTGTGGGGAAGAAACACCTACTTGAGTTTCTTTTTCTTCTGTTAGATTCACATAAAGTTAGACATATGACTTCTATTATTTTTTTAAAAAATAACATGTCTGGTCTCATTTTAATAAAAGCATTTTTATCTAGCTTTCCAGCTAGATGTACCCTACAGATTTCTAGAACACATTTCACCTAATGTTAGTAGTTATTTCTGGGTGGAGGTTTTAATTAGATTGCACAAACTGCCTTCAGTTTTTCATAATAAGAGCATATCATTTTTACAAAAATAAAGTCATTATTATGAAAAAAAAATAAGATTGGTGAAATATCTGTCTTCAGCATGGTATCTAGAGGTTTGTCAGTTTGATTTATTAGGAAAGCCTAAAGGATGTGTCATGTCAGAGGAATGTGCAGTAAGAAGATGGAATTTAAACTAGGCAAAAGGACATAATAAAGTTCAAAAATATTATCATAAGACAGGAATTACAACTTGTAATTAAAAGAGCCTGGGGGCTGGGGGTGTAGTTCAGTGGCTGAGCACTTGCCTGGCATGTCCAAGGTCCAGCAGCTCACATACAAACAAGATAAAAAAATGAACTTTTTAAAAAAAACAACCCAGATGCAACTTGAGCTATAGATTCAATGTAATTCCAAACAAAACCTCAGTAACTTATTGTGTGGATATCAACAAACTGATTCTAAAATTTACACGGAGGGGACTGGGGTTGTGTTTGTGGCTCAGAGGTAGAGCACTCGCCTAGCATGCGTGAGGCACTGGGCTCATTCCTCAGCACCACATAAAAAATGAAAAATAAAAATAAAGATATTGTATCCACCTATAACTAAAAAGTAAATATTAATAATAAATAAATGAGTAAAGTTTACACGGAGGAGCAAAAGGTCCAGAACAGCCAACTCAACACTGAAGGAGAACAAAGGTGGAAGACTGATTTTATTACCGGATGTCAAGACTTAATAAGTTGGAGCCAGGTGTGGTGGCTCATGCTTGTAATCCCAGCAGCTCGGGAGGCTGGGGCAGGAGGATCACAAGTTCAAAGCCCACTTCAGTAACAGCAAGGTGCTAAGCAACTCGGTCAGACCCTGTCTCTAAATAAAATACAAAATAGGGCTGGGGATGTGGCTCAGGGGTTGAGCGCCCCTGAATTCAATCCCTGGTACCCACCTTCCAAAGATTTAATAAGTTGGGCTACAGTTGTGTATCAGTTGCAGAGCGCTTGCCTGGCACATGTGAGGCACTGGGTACGATCTTCAGCACCACATAAAAATAAATAAATAAAATAAAGATATTGTGTCCATCTACAACTAAAAAAAAAAGACTTACTAAGTAATCAAGATGTTATCATACTGGATAAAGCATAAATGAATAGATCCATGGAACACAAAAGAAAGCTGAGAAATAGATCCACATAAATAGAGTCAAGTGGTGTTCAACAAAGGAGCTCCAAAGAGCAAAGACAGCATTCCAACAAAGGGTGCTGGGACAGCTAGAAACTGATGGGCCAAAAAGTGAATCGAAACACAGACCTTATACCCTTCCCCCAAATTAACTCAGAATGGATTCAAATGTAAATGTAAAACGAAAAGGCACAAAACTCCTAAGAGATAACACAGCAGAAAACCTAGTGACCCTGGTACAGAGATGACTTTTTAGATACAACATCAGAGCACAAACTGTTAAAGAAAGAACTGAAAAGCAGAGCTTCGTTCAAATGAAAAACCTGTGCTCTGCAAAAGACACTGTCGAGAGAATAAGAAGACAAGTCAAAGGGAAATATTTATAGAAGACACATGTGATAAAGGTTTATTATCCAAAATACACAAAGAACTCTTTAAACTCCACAGGAAAACAAGCAATCCCATTAGAAAATGGGCAGAAGACCTGAAGAGACTCCTCATTGAAGATACACAGATGTCAGACGAGAAAAATGTTCCACATTTTACGTCATCGGGGAATTACAGATTAAAACAACATCACTGCACACCTGTTAGAATGGCCAAAATCCAAAACACTGACACAACGGGCTGGCGAGGATGCAGAGCAACCAAAACTCTCATTCACTGCTAGTGGGGATGCAGAGTGGAACAGCCACGTGCAACGTGACTGGATGGTTTCCTACGAAACTCCTCAGACTCCAGCAACTGCCACCTAAATGCACCGGAAACGCATGCCCAGGAGAGGTGAGCATAGTAGATGAGAAGGAAGTGAAGGTCAGGAGTGAAATGAGGGTGGAGGGGTGGCCAGGGGCTTCCGGGAGAACTCACAAAGAGAAAGGAAACAAATGACCAGACTTGTGCTTTAGAAGGATCACTGTGGCTGCTACATGGAGGGATGGTGGGAAGTGCACAGAATAACAAATTAGGCAATGACAGCAGAATCTTAAGAGAGAAAGAGCAAGGCCCTGAATAAAGACAATCGCCATGGGCTGGATATATGACAAGGAGGCAGGATTCTCCAGGGTATGGTCCTGATCAGAAGTAGAGGCTGAGAGAAAAGAGAAGAGCCCCTGGAGGCTGCAGTCATTCTGGGCATTTTGAGTCGGAGGGGCTTCAGAGCTGGTGGAGATGACCTTTCCACAGCTGCGTACACAGGGCCAGCCCTCAGGTAAGAGGCACAGCCAGGCATGCAGACTGTAGATGGCCTCCCCATGGGAGGAAGGTGAAGCACAGAGCTGAGAAGAGGCCCCATCAGTAGAATCGACAGGGAGACCTGAATTTCAGAGACAGGCAAATGATGAAGGAGCTGGTGCGGTGGCCCACGTCCTTAATTCCAGTGGCTTGGAGGCTGAAGCAGGAGGACTGCAAGTTCAAAGCCAGCCTTAGCAATCTACTGCGGCCCTAAACAACTTGGCAAGACCCTGTCTCTAAATAAAATACAACAAGGGCTGAGGATGTAGCTCAGTGGTTCAGTGCCCTTGGGTTCAATTCCTGGTGCCTCCCCCACCTCCACAAAAAAAAAAAAAAAAAAGAGGAAGTGGAAAAAGGTTCAGGCAGGGAGTAGTAAGGATCACAGGTGACAGAGGAAGAGGGAACTCTCCACAAGTCAGTATCAAATGCTAAAAAATTGAGGGGCTGAGAAAGAAGAGGACCGAAAACTTTACCACCTTTGAACATGGAAATAAATTAGGGGGAGGGTGGGATTGAAGTTCATTTTCAAGCAGGTAAATATAATTACGGAGTTGAATGATTCCCAAAGAACATACATTAGGATTGTCACAAGTAAGAACACGCATTTTGTAAAATGAAGTATTTTAAAAGTTAACTTGAGTTCTCAGCTTATAATCCAAAAAAATCATTTTGTGGGATGTGACCTACAATCAATAATAGTTAATGGAGAAGTCACAAGGAGAAAGGAAGTGAATGATGGCATATCTGTGCCAAAGAATATTAACTCTTTTTTTTTAACATTTCTCATGTATTTTATTGAGTTTTAATAATAGTAAACTTATAAATTGCAAATAACTAAATATTTCTGATATTCTTTTTTCTTACATAAGAATATTAACTCTTAAAAGAATGACGTGGAGCTATGCCAGCTGAACTCTGTGAGGCACTGAGTAAGAAAAACAAAATGCAGAAAGTGCCTATAATAAGGGCTCATTTTTGGGAAAGCGATGACAAAGAACTTGTTTATGATGAGAGAACATGGAGGACATTTAGGAACGACCCATGGTAGGTATGGCTGTGTACCTACAGCATTTACCTGACTAGGCAAAGGGGAGGGTGATGTGGGAAAGAGGGAGAGGCACGCAAGCAATAAAGGAAAATGAAATATGCCACTAAATAGCATATAAGAAATGGTCATGTGGGGCTGAAGTTGTGGCTCAGTGGTAGAGCACTTGCCTAGCATGTGTGAGGCATTGGGATCAATCCCCAGCACCACATTAAAAAAAAAAAAAAAAAAACTAAATAAACAAAATAAAGGTACTGTGTTCATCTACAACTAAAAAAAAAAGGAAGAAATGGTGTTTTATATAAATGGTTTATGCATTTATATAAAACTATATGTAAAAATGAGAAACAAGATGAACACACAAAAAACAGTTTAACTCAAATCCTCACTGAATTAATTGAATGCTGAGAGTGGCCTGTTGTCTGGTGGCAGCTGGGGTGAGCCAGAAGGGGTCTGGAGTCCTCCACCTGTATTTTGTCCCCCTGTGAGAACACCTATGGGTGAGATGCCACTGTAAGGGCATCTGGGCACAGTTCTGTGAAGCTGGTGAGAAAGAAAAAGGCTCCTGGGGGCTTATTTGACTTGTGGGCAAAGTGCAAGGATGGGGGAGGATATCTGCAGGAGACCTGAGCCTTGGGAATTTGCAGGAATTAACAGATCAGAAGCCATTTGGGGCAAAAGGCTGGAACGGGAATAAAGAGGCTGTGAATGTCACCAAATACAGTGTGGGCGAGAATGTTATAGAAGACCAAAGCCAGATGGAGGCAGATGACCCTGGTGAGGCCCACAGAAGAGCCCCACAGACCTGCCTCACGATGTGGTTGTAAGTCTCCCAAGTTATGGGAGAAGAGAAAACAGGAAATTAAAGAATGACACCAAGAAAAGGAGAGTTCTTACCAACCAACATACACACTTTTAATTACAAAAAGTAAAAACTTTCATTACATAAAACTTTAATTTACATACATTCTTTACATGGTGAGGTCTTTATGAGTTCACAGTATATCGAATTACTGTCCACATTCTGCAGTTGACACACATGAACAGCTCAGACCATTTTGACCACCCACACCTGGGACAGGTGTCTACCTCTGCTCATTGGGGCCACCCGAACCCACCACAACCTGGTTCCCTGAAGATGAACTGTGCTTGTTCCCAGCCCCTGTCCCCGAGGCTGGCAGGGAGAGGCTGACACTAAGTCCTGCCTGAGTCCTGGCCTGCCCACGCCTCTCCTGTGGGGGGAAGAGAGGAGGAGAAGCATACAGGCAGCATTTTTCTGAGTAGAACTGCAGAAAGAAGGGTGAAGGAGAACATTGCCTATGATGAGACACCTGCCAGTGCCAGGCGTCTGACAGTTCTTGTCACCAATTCTCATAGACAGGTGAGAGTTTTTCTTAAAAAGGGTCAAAAGTGCTCTGCAGAGCTGCAGCTAAGCTGTGAGGGAAGATGGCTGCCCAGGGTGACCCCCACCTACCCAGCTGTTGTGGGCTGTCATGAGGTAAATGGAGCCTGGCACAAAGCAGGTGTCCCATTTCTGCTTGGAACTCAAAACTCAGCTGGGCCCACTTCTCTGCACTGGTGCTAGAACCGTGGTTCACTCTTGATTGGTGACAGCTGCTTAAGTGACGAACACACTCAGTGGTGAGGGAAGGGTCTCCTGCCCGCCCTGGTGCCTCTCCACAGCCCCAGGCCTCTGCTTAGTTACATAACATTCCTTCTCCGCACTAGTCTGAAAAAGTCTGGACATTTCACGGTCTCCAGGGAGAGGAGAATGACAGATGTATTTAGCTCTAATGCTTAAATTATGCAGGGCAGAGAAACCAGACACGGAGGGACCTGGCCAGCAGACAAGCCGGCTGGAGGCTTTCTCCTGCACACCCGCATTTAAAGTGGCACCGCACCCAGGGCTGCAGGCTTGGACATGGTGCAGCCGAGGAAGAGCACCTGTCTGGCTCCCTGAGGTGCTTTTTTGGAAGTTGTTGCTGGATATCTGGAGGCTGGTAGTGAGGAGGACAAGGCTCTATGTGCCTCTGGGGACCTGGCACTTTCCTAGTGCACCCTACTTTTCTTTTGTACATGCCTTCACCTTCCTAACCTCCTGGTCCTGAGACACCCGGTCTCTGTACACAACATCTGCAGGTGCAAGCACGGGGAGAATCTCAGCCTGAAGCACTATGTTAAAGTCCATCTCCAACACTCTCTTCTTTCAACCAATTTTGTTGAGGGACAGGTCACCACTGAAAGGTAATGAGGAACTGTGTTCTTGGGAGTTCCTTCCATTGCTGGAAGAACTCAAAAGCCTACAAGACTCTTCTGTTGAACACCTGAAAAAGATGAACAAAGTCACCCTCCCCACTGCACCAGGTGGCTTTCCCTTTCCCTCTATCATCTGTCCTCCTGCTGGAGATAATGAGAAGTGGACATTTGCTTTGGGGTTTGAACACTGACTGTGGGAGCAACTGAGGAGTGAACAGACTCATCCAGACTACCTTAGAATAGCTGCTCCTACACTGAGGCCTATGCTGGATTTTAGAAGAAGGGAATAGAAAACTGAGAACTGAAAAACAAGTGATGTAACTCCAAGGGGAGCCACAACTGGAATTGGGCAGAGTCCCTCCTCTGGTCACACATCTGGAAACACGTGGTGACAGGAAAATGGCTGGACATAGTTGTGTTCCAGCTACAACTCACTCTTTTTTTTAAAGAGTTTTCAAGTGGGAAGGGAAAAAGTGCAAGGATTTTTATAAAAATCACTAGATTCTTTTCTTTTCCATTTCTGACCAAAAGAGTTTTTAAACAAACCCTGCAGGGTTCCTGCTTGCTGAATCTCATCCTCAGGATCACCCCGATGGGGCACACTGGAGTCAATGGAACTCACAGTTCTCTTCTTGGGCACCACACTACGATGCAGCAGAAAAATAATGTGCTGCAGAAGCACCCACCTACCTACCTACTGGCAGTTAACACCCAAATTTCTTTACTTGTAGAAGAAGTATCTACTATCCATTTTATAGGACTGAGCGAAGAAAGGAGACTATGTATCTAGAGGCACCCTGTAAGCTGGAGTGGACTCGGACAAGTATTAGGAGTCCTTTCTCTGAGAAAATATGCCCAAATCTGCCCCTTTTATTCAGACTGCTTTGTATTTCACCAAATAGGTAGACTTCTGTTTCTATAAACAGTTACTATTTTACATCCTCCCTTCCCTGATAAAATGGAGGATGGCTCTGCCTTTTTTCATAAACCAGAATAGGTGTGTAGTCCACTCATTAACTGGTGAAAGGCTCAGGACATCTGGACACAAGTGCTTCAAAATGGCACCAAAGCAACCTGCCTCCCCAGAGAGCCGATTCCTAGGACCACATTTCTGTGCTGGGAACCTACATGAAAGTGAACCCGACCCAGTGCAGAGTCACCTCCCAGCAAACACCTGACAAACCTGTGAACAAGTCTCTCTTTTTGGAGTTCTGAGTTTTTTTTTAATTGTGATTGGGGTGGTGGGGCATGGGTTAAGTGGTCCTACCCTGTCCCTCTATCCCCACTTTCTCATGTTGGGGAGCCTCCTTTCCATACTGGGTCATGCAGAGGGGCTTTTGCTAGTTCTGTCTAGTGGCTGAGCGCTAACTGGTGGGGAAATCCCATGGCATCCTACACAAAGCCGTGAATAACTAGGAAACGGCTGGCTGGCAACCCCGCCATTCCTGTAGGGCTGGCAGCTTAGTAGATTCTACTTATGAGAATTACCTTGACAAGAAAGTGAATTACTTCAATGCACCCAGTAATTAAGAGCAGAAAATCCTCTTTGGAGAATTTCTCACTTAACACAAATCGATATTCAAGGTCTTGGCTGAAAATGAGTGGAACGAGTGGTACATACATAAAGCTGCTGCTTGTCTTCGGCTATAATCATTCTTTGTTGTACTGAAGAACAGCTCAGGGGATGCCTTCCAACATCAACACGTGCAAGGGTTTCTTAGTTATCAAAGTTTGAGCTGAACTGTGTATTTTATTGATATTTAAGATATGAAAGGCAGAAATGAGTAATAAAACACAAGATAATTAATAAGAACAAAACAGGTCTCAATCATCAAAACCATCCCTCTGCTCCCTCCTAAGGAGCTCTCTTTTGTTAACTCAAAGGGTCTAATTTAAGAAAATTCTGAGAGGCCTCTGAGAACCTGTTTATATATAATCATGCACCATGTGCAGCAGGGGTGGGGACCCTGCAGAAGCTCGGAGGGCTTGCACAAAGCTGGCCTCTAGATGATCCCTCATTTAAAATCTCTTAAATCATAACTGCTTAGCAGTCTTGACTTTTATATGTACAAAAAGTTTTGTTTTCCCTGTCTTCACCCACACAAGGGGATAATTCTTTTAAGGAAAAATTCCCCCAGGTACATAGAGCTCATCCTGGTTTCATTTAAACCCATGGAGGAGGCTCCCAGTGTTTCCATCCAAAGCTCTGTGAACTCTGCTTGTCCTTTACAAAACCATAGACAAAGAGGCCATTCAAGGGCTCAGTATTCATGGAATGTGCAGGAAAAGGGGCCTGGGAGTAGAGGTGCAGGAGTCTTCCAAGGATGAGGAGGATCCCAGAAAGGGGCACAATTGCTTTCCACCATCTCCATCTGCCTCAAGTCCATAACTCTGTGACAGACATCTACTGTGCATCCACTTGATTTCTGCAATTTAGTGTGGTTTGTTTTTTGTATTGAGGAGGCGTGATCAGTGGCCAGGGATCTAGCAATGTCAATAAAGGAATAATAAGGGGGAAAAGGAAACAAGAAAAGTATCCTTATTTATACTATTTGATTAACACATACCAAAAGCACTTGGCGGAAAACAATGAGCACAGCAAATCATCCAATGAGAACACAGCTTTATAACATTACAAAAAATAACATCTCACCTTGTCTCCCAGTACAAAGGGAGCTCATTTTAAGACCAAGGATCACAAAATCAGTTGCAGCCCAGCTGGCAAACACTTTGGGTCTGGAGTTCCTTCCCCAACCACATTACAACATCAGCTTTGACGCATCAGCAAAACATCTCTGTACAAAGTCAGATCCTAAAGATCAAACCCAGGGAGGCACCCACTCCCAGGCCAGCTACTCTAACTCATTCCCCTCTGAAGACACTTGGTAAAAGCAACAATCAACAGGGGCAGTGCTGCATCAGCAGGAAGGGCTCTGGCCCAGCCAAGGGAGGGGACTCGGAGCCCAACTTCTGAGAAACCATCCAGATGGGCAAGGTGGGGTAGGATAACAACCTGATAAAATGGAGAAAAGTATCACCTTAGGAATACTCATTTGGAATTTTAATCATAATGCAGCCTGGCACCTCTGAGACATCCAGATCCATGCAGACTGGGAAAGAGATGCTCTTCGTAAATGTAATTTGGTATTATCTGACCTTTTTTTCATTGGTTCTAAATTCCATTTTGCTTGAGAAATTGCAGCCATTTCTTTAATCAGCCATGGCTTTCCCAAAAGATGTACAGGCTAATGTAGCCGGGCAATCAGCAGACGAGCAGGCCCACCTGGTGAAGAACGGCTCTGATGTCAGGACCCACTGGCTGCCCTCTCCATTGCCCGGAGCCAGCAGAGGGGACCGTGTCCACACAAATGGGGGGAGGCAGCACCCTACTTCCTGCCTGTGAGGGAGCCTCCAGGCCTGGAAGAGCCAGTCTCTCACAGATGGGTGCTGGCAAAGTCCAGGCCAAGAAGCCAGGCTGGAGTCCTTCCTAAGCCATCTGGGTGGAGTCCAGAAGGTCAGGCCCTGGCCTTGGTCTCCAGCACAGCAGTGACTAGCATGTGCATGCAAAGGGCAGGGAACTAAGTAACCAGCCCCTGGAAAGTGGTTTCATCGTTTTTGTTTTTATTCCCCCCACTTTCAGCTCTCAGAGCTGTTCCTGTATATAGTTCTGTTTCCTATAGTTCTGAAAGAGTGGTTCCATCACAGACGACCAAAGGCTGCACCCCTCTGGCTACAATGTTGACCTTCCAGTGGGTGGCACCAGCATAGCCTTGAAGGGAAACAGCAACAAGAAAGCACGTGAATATCAGCAGACCAGCGCACCTGCAGACAGAGCCAGGCAGGCCACCTGCAGAGTCCACGGGGCATCTTACACTGAAGGTCTTTAACTCTTCCTAGTGTAAGTATTGTTCGCTCCTTGCTGTAATCTGACATCCAACAGGTGCTACTTTGAACCAAAATGCTTTCTCTCCCCGCCCTTCCCTGGGCAATCAATCCTCAGCCTCAGATTGAGCTCAAGCTTTCTTAGCAAGATAGGATGGGTCTGAGAGGGGGCAGGACCTACTATTCAGTTTTTCTCAGGCCATCTATGACATGATTGCATCATAGCATGTCCAGATTACCCTAAATCAGCATTTCCCAAATTGCATTCTGCAAACAGTAATGTCTTATAAGACACTCCAAAGAAACTGGGTTCCACAGTCAAGTAAGTTTGAGGAACAGCAGATTCCTCCAAGGCTTTTCAGTCTTTGGTACACTAATGTGCACTGCATGTGGACTCTACTGACTTAAAAACCCTATTTGCCAAGGGCCTTCCCTAGGAGCTGCCATTCCCATTGCTGGAGTCAGGAGCAATCCAAAGACATGTGAACCTATGTTGTTTGAGTGGGCGAGGAAGGTAAACTTAAGACCTTTGACACTTAGATAATCTGATGATGCCGACATCACTGTGTCTATGATTAAGATGACTGTCTTTTATAATTAAAAATTTAAGAGGGTAGATCTCGTATTAATTCTTTTTACCATAATACAATAACATTAAGAAACAAGCAAAAAACTTTATTGATGAAGAATTTTCTAGAGTATGGTTCCTACTCATCTTTAAGAAAACTGAATAGAATTTAATCTACACTTGACGACTCAGTAAAGATCACAATGAGCGGTACTATACAGTGACTGCCAATGCTGTGCCTGACCTGTGTGTCATCCTGGAAAATGCCTCCAAGTCAAGGTTTCTCGGTGACTGGTGACCTAATTCCCCCCATCTCCATAGGACAATATTTTGTCAAAAATCAAAGAACTTTCTTGTCATAGTACCGTTCTTTGGAATTTATAAGGGACTGAAGTTGACACTATCCTACAACCATTGAATTATTCTCCCTTGTCAGGGTCTGCTTTTCTGTCCTTATTTTGAATGGTGGCAGCTGTAGCCATTGCTTCTATTCTTGCACTACCTCAGATACTCATTGTCCTCCCTACCTTGTTCCCTTCCTCTTCTCCCAAGCTTGTTTTTCTCCTCAGTCTCCTGTGCCTTTTCCATGTCCCAGTCGTGTGGATGGCCTTTTACAGACACTGTCAACCACAAGGTTCCTTTCCTTCTGGTTCACAAACTGGCCTATCACAACTTGGAAGGTGAACTGTTCTGGTTTTAGGCTATTCTGGTCTATCTGCACCAGCAGCATTTGATGCTCAAAGTCTCTTTTATTATTGCTAGATACCTTATTCCCCCCTTGAAAATTAATTCTATAACTGGCACTCTAGATACTTGTGGGAGTTGAAAATCTGGAATGTGGATAACTAAGGGGTTTCTATAGTTGTCTCAACTGCTAGGCGTTTGTAGAACATAAGACACCCATTCAAGCACAAACACAAACTCCAAACACAAAACACAGATTTCTGCAATAATCACCCTTAGTGTAAGGGTCACTGTAGTATAGGAAATAGGTTCAGAACAATTTTCATTCAGGAATCCTCTTTTTTGTAAGCATTTCCCAAGCGCCAGGCCAGCTGTGCTCCATTATTAGTTGATGCCTAATTTGTACATTTTAGTTATTTTCCATGTCTAAACTAAAATAAGGGTTATGTAACTTGGAGTAAAGCTTGGTATAGTTTGCTCCCCACAAATGAGGTGAGATGTTTGTAGGAATTTGAGGTCTTCTGAATGAATAAAATGAAATCAACTGGAAAACTAGTCTGGGCTCTGTCGGGGACTGCTGGCCTCACCCAGGTTTTGTGAGGCAGGAAAAACAAAGAGGTCAATGATGACACTTGCTGTTTTAGTTGCTTCTGCCAACAAGACTGCTCTCACACTAATTGCTACTGACAGTAGTTGAAGCAAACCTGTTTCTTTGGAATAGATTTTTAGAATATAAGGCACAGGATAAGTCTCATCTGGGAAAACATGAAGCCAGAGTCAAGAGTGAGTCACTGGTGTGAGGCTGTGACTTGGCTGTGGAACCCACACAGGAGGTAACATTTCCGTGTGTGCTGTGACTTGGCTGTGGAACCCACACAGGAGGTAACATTTCCGTGTGTGACCCTTGTATACTGCTTTGCATTGTTTTATTTGCAAAATAGGTATATAGTTTCCTGGCATCTTGAATTGTCCCTCCCTGGAGCTTGCCTGCACCTGAGAGGACATGTAAGACTTTTTTTTTTTTTTTTTTTAATTTTAATATATTTTTTTTTTTTTTAGTTTTCAGCGGATGCAACATCTTTGTTTGTATGTGGTGCTGAGGATTGAACCTGGGCCGCACACATGCTAGGCGAGCGCGCTACCGCTTGAGCCACATCCCCAGCCCCGACATGTAAGACTTGATGCTCTGCTTGACTCTAGTGGGGCGTCCTCTCTGGGTCTCAACCTCCTCATCTGTAAAATGAGGGATTGATCTAAATATTTTCCAGAATTCCTTCTAACTGGAAGGTTCTATGACCAATCGACATGTGCATTCTAACTACGGTATGTAGAAGACATTTTTCTCTGCTACATAAGTTTATTTCTAAAACATATTGACTCTGTTAATAAAAGAATGCTATTTTTGACTCTACTTAATAAAAATTTCAGGAAGGGAGTATTTGATACTTAGAATATTTTAACTCTTTTTTCTGAGTTAAAAATTAAAGATTCCTCAGTTGATCCTACCCTCCTGAGACCCTACATACCGATATCCCCTGGCTCTATTGGCATGGCCACAGACTGACAGTGTCTTCGGCACTGGAAGGGAGGGATGAGCTGCAACATGGCCTCACCGCTGCCAATGGTAAATAGGTCATGCACCTTATGCATCTGGAGGAAAGAGCAGGGAGGGAAAGAAAACAAAACCTGAGGATTAGTACATGAAAATCCTCACACATATGGCTTGAGTTTCCTAGCAGCCTAAGCAAAGAGGAAAAGAGAACCAACAAAAAATTCATAATTATGCCCAAAAGACAAAACAGTTTCTCCTATGCATGGCATATCCTGGTACTGAAACCAGGATAAAATCTCTTCTATGGGTTCTTCTAAAGAGACACTGTGTGATTTACTCAGCAACACCCTCAATGACAGCCCAGAGCAGTTGCTGAATGAGTGCTATGACGTAGACATGTGTCCTCCAAAAGTTCATGTGTAAGACAATGCAAGGTTTAGAGGTGAAATGATTGGCTTATGAGAGCCTTAACCCAATCACTGAATTAATCCCTTCACAGGGATTAACTGAATGGTAACTGAAGGGAGGTAGGTGTGGCTGGAGGAGGTGGGTCACTGGGGCTGTGCCTTTCAGGTATATATTTTGCCTTTGTAGAGCAGAGCTGTTTCGCAGAGGCCATGTCTGAAGCACTTTCCTCTGTCACACTTTTCCACCATGATGTTAAGCCTCACTCAAGCCCTGAGGAATGGAACTGGCTGTTTTATGGACTGAAACCTCTGAAACCGTGAGCCCCAAATAAACTTTTCCTACTCTAATTGTTTGTTTGTGAAAAAGCTGACTAAAACAATGAGCTTCACAATGTGCAACTATTTTGATCCACAGTTTCAAAGTAGGTCAAAGGCAAAATATCTTCTTGCCATACACACACACACATACATATACAGATATTCATAAAGATATAAATATAGATAAGAGTTGGGGATCAAACCTAAGGCCTTGCACATGCTAGGCAAGCCCTGTATCACTCAGCTACATCCTCTATCTTCTTACCACAATTTAACAAATGTGGTTCTGGGCTGGGGTTATGTAGCTCAGTGGTAGAGTGCTTGCCTCGCATGTGTGAGGCACTGGGTTTGATCCTCAGCACCGCATATAAAGAAATAAAAATAAAGATATTGTGTCCATCTACAGCTAAAATATATATATATATATATATATATTTTAAAAAGTGGCTCTATCAGAGGCCTACCTGTGGTGGTTTAAGTATACAATCTTCTAAGGGTCTGATTTAATCCAGATATTTTAGATAAATAGGTATGCATATCCTTTAGGCACTCTTCTATGGACTATCATTTCTTACTATCAGGGTTCTGATAAAAATTGCATAGCAGCAAGTTCAAATTATCTGGCAAGACCCAGGTAAGCAGATATGCCATGTTACTAATTAAACCTAATGACAATAAGCCTGGCCTCTGATTTTGAAAATGAGAGACAATCAAGATATGCACCTGCAGAGGTAACTACTGTCAGCAATATGCATTAAGTACAACCTGCTGTGTGCCACGCAAGGAGTTGTGAAGCCCCTGGATGGGCAGGGAATAGGGACATGGAGAAGTGGGACTTACTCTGGTTTTTCTCCCTAGCTTCAAAAAAAAAAAAAAAAAAAAAAAACCCAAGAGTTTCCTCTTCCTCGCCTCCCCACCTGAAGCTCTTGCCCTTCAGAGTAGAGCTCCTGCCTACATAAAACAGATGGCACAAGTTGGATTCCCTGGGTTTGGTTTTTCTTTTCCATTCCAGGACTCTAGGTTTGGGTCTCATCTTCTTCTGGGTCCAACCCTGGCTATGATTCTGTTTCTAAGACATATTAGAGCCATTTCAGTGAAATGGTGTAGTGACAGGAGGGAGCTTGGTACCTTGAGCTGGCCTGCAGTTGACTGGTGCTAACACCACAGAAGCCCTGATATCTGTAGTCTACAAAAAAAAAAAAAAAAAATCCCAAAGACCTAAAGCAAGTGGGTGTAGTCTTCTTTCATAGGCCTGAGAGGGGTGGGGTCATGTTCCTTTACACCTAGAGTGGAAACAGAGAGACAGGAGATGCAGGCCAGCCCCAGGCAGCACTGTGGAGTGGGTGGAGCTAGACTTAATCTCTTCCCCTAGTGACTCCTAAGAACCAGATCCCCTCTTCTATCCTAAGCCTGTTTTGGGATGCTGGGCGCAGACCTTGACTTTACCAGAGCCCAGGAACAGGGATGTGGAGAACTGGGTGGAGTAACAAGGCTGGGAAAAAGGAAAGCTTGGGCCAGGGTGGGAAAACAGATGCTCCAAGAAACCAGACTCAGGACTTTTGCCTTTTGGGGCCACTCCCCTTCCCAAAACATCCTTGTGAACCACAATAAGATGATTTCGATAGCCATTTGAGTAACTCAAGTTACTTGGTTGGCTGGGCTCCTTGGTGCTAAGCAGGCTGGTGAAATTATCTTCAATATTCAAGTGGGAAAATTGAGATAACGGCCCTCGCCCAGAATTAAATCATAATTATGAAGATGAAATCATCCTATGGCCAAAGTTCTAGTCAAGGACAGCAGGATAAACTCTGGTAAAGTCTGAGGCAAGAGCCCAGCACCTCCCCACTGCTGGCAGACAAAAGTTCTTACTTCTAGACAAAAATGATTGTTTTTATAGGTTTTTAAATTTTTCCAACACAATTCAGCAAATCTGGAGCCAAACAAGAGTATCAGGAGGTTGAAGACACAACCCAGAGTTGATAGGGAGTCACAGTTTGGGACATTTAAATTTTGTGTTATTTTTTTTAAGTGGTGTTGGGGTTTGAACCCAGGGCCTCAAGCATGCTAAGCACAGCTTTACCTTGGGGATGTACCCCCATCCCTAATTTTTTTTACAAAATTCATTCTTTTAATTCTTCCAAATCAATAAAGGCTCAAAATCTTCCTCAGGAATGAAACTCAATAAAAGAACAATTCAGAGAAAAGTAAATAGACACAAACACAGAATACCTTCTCCCAGTCTACTGGCTAGGGAACAAAGTGGGAAACACTGGGTGCAGAGTGGGCCTTTCCACCCTGAGTGGGACACCTACTTTCTCCAAGTTTCTAGCAGATTTTCCCCAGGCTCCCAAGCTTTTGCCTTTCCAGTTCTCTACCTAAATGTTCTTTTTGTGTGTGTGGGGAACATCCTAGGGGTTGAACTCTGAGGCACTCAACCACTAAGCCACATTCCCAGCCCGTTTTATATTTTATTTAGCGACAGGGTCTCCCTGAGTTGCTTAGGGCCTCACTGTTGCTGAAGTTGGCTTTGAACTCGTGATCCTCCTGTCTCAGCCTCCTGAACTGCTGGGATTACAGGTGTGTGCCACCACACCCGGCTTGAATGTTCTCATTTGTTTTTATTTTATTTTGGTGGTACTGGAAGTTGAGCCCAGGAATGTTCGAATGTTCTGTCTCTGAGCTACTTTCCCATTCGTTTTATTGTATTTTGAGACAGGGTCTTGCTAAGTTGTCCAGGCTGGCTTTGAATTTGCCATCCTCCTGCCTCAGTCTCCTGAGTAGCTGGGATTATAGGCATAAGCTATGATGCCTGGCTTTCTTATTTATTTCTGGGGAAAGCCAGCTACCCTGGGAGTGGGGGGTTGAAGGAATCCTCCTGTTAATCTGCTCCACGACCTTGGACAGATAACACTTAAAATCTCTCTGGGACTCAGTTTCCTTATTTACAAAATGGAAACATTGGACTATTCATTTATATACTATTCATCTATGGCTTGCCTACTTTATAATTTGGGGTAGAGAAGTCAGACTCACTGTACATTCAAGTCCCTTCAAAATTTACAATTCTACTCCCTTCAATATAGAAAAGTAGCTTGCCCCTACATGTTAAGGACAGGAAACAGGCTTTTAAGATACCTAAACTTTCTGAAAACATGCCTTTATAACAGGGTGGGCCACTGTAGGTCTCTTGGCTAGCAGCAGAAGGGAGACCTTTGGATTATGTAGGTGTACCCTCAATTCACCCTCTAAATCAATATACCAGAAAGGCCTTGATTATGACACCAATCCAGATCCCAAATGAAGAATGCTCTAGATCCAAGTCCTCTCAAAATTTCCTACCTTGCTCCCCACAACAGGTTCCGGGTGAAGAAGGAAGCACTTTTTTAAGGAGGCATCTTTTGGAAATGGCAGGTGGATAAAAACAGGAAAAAGCTCCCGTAAAATTTGTGACCTATTCAGAGGTCTTCTCCTGTGAAAGTTTGTAACAGAAAAACATCATGAGACTGGGCCATCCAGCCTATCTACTAACAGAGGACTAAGCAAGGGTGGGGAACTGGGTGGCAGGTAAAGAGGAAAAGAAAACAGTATAATATCTTAAGTTCTAGGTCCATGAAGAAGAGTCAAGCTGAAAAAATGAATTATAACATGCATACACACACATAAACCCTATGGCCATGGTTTCTATGAGTGGGTGGTATGTCTAGAAAGTCCAGTTAAAACAATGTATAGACGAAGAAAAGAAATGATCTATTCATTCTACCTTGTAAAGAGGTTACAAAAACAGCAGGCCACGTGGGGGAGAGAAGAAGAGAGGAGGGGATAAAAAAGCCTGACCCTTCTTCCCAGTGCAGAGTGGGAGGCCTGATGAGCTTGTTAAACTGGGCATTCTATCTCAAAAATAGATGGCAAATTTAAAGTTAGGAGGATGTATTAAGAAATTATCCGGAAGAATTCTGAGAAAAATATTTTAATTCTCCTTTGAAACAGTTCTAGGATAGAAACCAGCTTTTGTTTTCTTGTTAGAGAGCAACCTTAGACCCAAGGAATGGACACAACTGGGCCAGCCAGCCTATCTTCAGGACTGGAAGCCATGGAGTGTCTTCTGTAGGACACAGAAAGGAATAGGAAAACCAAAATGGGTGTCAGTCCTCATGGGGTGTGCTTGGGCAAGTTACTGAGCCTCTCTGATTGCCACTCTTCTGATCTGAAAAATGACAATGATAATTTCTTTTTCCCAGAGCTATTGTGAGTGTCACTAATGAGCAACAGACACTAATCACCAAAACACACTGCCTGGAACAAGCAAGTGCCAGGAAATGCAGTTCTCCTCCTGCTGCTCACGCTCTTTCCTCGGCCCCGGTGCTCAGGACCCATCCTCCAGACACGTCTCTATTAACACATACTTAGAAATAAATCATGATTCTATTAGGCAATATTGGTGTTTCCCCATGCCTGTGCCCTTCTTTTGACCATGCTCCATTTGGTTAGTTTATCAGAGAACTGCTCTCCCTTGGCTGTATGCTGTCAAGTGAGTGCTCGGTGCTGACACGTGGCAGGGGCTCAGTGGCTCCCACTGTTCGGACATCTAGCCCACCTCTTCCCCACACACAAGCTAAGTGCCCTTCCATACTCACCATGGATAAGGAAAAGGGAACCACCGCTCAGGAAAGCAACGCCACCACTTGGAAAAAAACCCTTCAGTGAAGCCTTCTGTCATCTCAGGGTACTGGCACAAAAAATGTTGAATCTCCTCAGACAACAGGGGCTGTCCAGACTTGGTGAGACAGAAAGCAAAACATCACTCAGTGGAAGAATCAGGCTTTTTTTTTTTTCCAGTTTTTTTAGTTATAGAGGGACACAGTACCTTTATTTTACTTATTTATTTATATGTGGTGCTGAGGATTGGATCCAGCGTCTCACACATGCTAGACAAGTGCTCTACCACTGAGCCACAACCCCAGCCTGAGATTCAGTCTTCTTACCTTGATCACCAGAGGATGGAGTCTCTCGAACTCCTTGGGGGTATCTTCCAGGAGTATTACCTTGAGGGGTAATTTCTGAGCACAGCCAGTGCAGTTGGGAGGGATGAGCTCTGACTCATTCTGCTCACAGTCATTTGTCCACCAGGGGTCAAAATCTGAGACGGGAAGAGATATGGAGAAAGCAGTTAGACACAGGAATAACACATCTGTAGATCCAGTACTCCGGGAACGAAAGTGAAAGGAACATTATTTTCAAAGGAAACAATGATAAGCACAAGACCTCTGAAGACGGACATGTGAAGTAAGTACCCTCTGAGGACGAGTAGAGGGTTCAGGGGACAGGGATGGGAAGGATACTTTTCTCTGTATACTTTCTTACACTTTATGAAAAATGTCTTTTAACATGTACATATATTTCCTAAATCAAATCAATAAATCAAACATAACAGTTGGCAAAAACATTCTCTCTCAACATTTTCTAACCCATGACCACTTGTCTGAAATGTCTACAGCACACGGGGAGGGCAGATGGAAAGGGTGGCCTCACACCCCTGATACATGTCTTCTCGCACACTCTGAGCATCTAGACCTCTGGCTCTCAAGTACAAGTGGGGGCCAGGACAACTCTGGGAAGGAAGAGTGAGGAAAGGGCACAGAAAACAGAAGGGATGCAGAGGAGAGACAGCACTTCCTAGGGGCCCTTTTGGCATACAGTGAATTGCATCTGCCCATAAGAACTATTCCACCCTATCTCAAAAGAGGCAGGGCCACTACTAACCCTTGTTTCTGGACACAGGTTGGTCAGAAGTGGAAGGACCCCAACCCAGACCCTGACATGAGTACTCACTGGCTGCCTGAAACCTTTCCCTCTTTGGGTCCTTCTCTGAGGGGGCTGTTTCTATATGACTTCCCCAGCTTCTTCCTGTCCCTTCCCTCTGACAGAATCCTTTTTATAATGCTATTATATTATTTCTTGTTTATCTTCTGTTCTGGGTTTCATCTGTATTCTCTCAGAGTTGTTTGTTTTGAACTCTAATTTGAATCCAAAATGTTTCACAACATGGTTCTGATTAAAACCTAGTAGAAATGAATCCAGAGAGAGCATAGAACAAAAAGCAAGAGAATACCAAATGTGGCTGGAATGAACTCATTTATTTAGGTACTGGAGATTGAACTCAGGGGCACCTTACTACTCAGTTACAGCCTCAACCATTTTACATTGAAAAAGGGTCTCACTAAGTTGTCAGGCTGACCTAGAACTTGCAATCTTCCTGCCTCAGCCTCCCAAATTGCTGGGATTACAGGTGTACCCTACTGTGTGGGGTGAACCGAATTTTTTAAACTAATAAACTCATTTAGAAACTGACCCTTATTCACAAAACATTTTCCTTCTTTTTTTATATACCTTTATTTTATTTATTTATTTTTATGTGGTGCTGAGCCTAGGGCCTTGCATGTGCTAGGTGAACGCTCCACTGCTGAGTCACAACCCCAGCCCTCACCAAACATTTCCTGTAATCAGTAGTAAACACTTCATCTTGGTGTTCATTAAGGCAGTAGCAGAGGGACAGGGGAATCCCCACTAGGGAAGGTCTGTGACCAGCACATCCCTCACAGATAGCACTGGGCGTCCTCAAAGAGCTCTCTTCCTGGTCAATCTATCAACCAGACAACTACAGGTGCAAGGGGGCCTCTCCTCCCACAGGGCTCGCCAGGGGCCTCCAGGGCCAGCGGAATAAACTTATAGTGCCACCTGTTTCTGTGATACACTAAGGTTGCAAAGTGTACACTTTTTTCCTTCTGGAATATTTTCAAATGTTCCTTATTAGGAGTAAAAAATAATGAATTCTTGCCAAAATACAAGAACTCCACATAATGGGCACACCATGAAGCACAAATAATTATAATAACACGTTACCATTACACATCATGTTTCAGTTTCCAAAGTAGTTGGGAAGAAAAGGAAGCTAATGCAACAAGAGCCTGGCCCTGCGTGTGCCATTTCTGCATACTATACTGTTTGATGTGTACTATGTGGTTGCGGAGGAGGCCTCATTACTTTGACCTTACGGATAAAAAACTAAAAGTTAAGGGCTGGGGATGTGGCTCAAGTGGTAGCGCGCTTGCCTGGTGTGCGTGCGGCCCGGGTTCGATCCTCAGCACCACATACAAACAAAGATGTTGTGTCCGCCGAAAACTAAAAAAAAAATAAATATTAACACTAGTATGGCAATATGTAAATCAATGGATGTGTAACTGATGTGATTCTGCAATCTGTATATGGGGTAAAAATGGGAGCTCATAACCCACTTGAATCAAAGTGTGAAATATGATATATCAAGAACTATGTAATGTTTTGAACAGCCAACAATAAAAAATTAAAAAAAAAAAAAAGTTAAGAGTGTGACAGGAAAAGCATAGGGGACGCCGGGAAAGGAGCTCAAGGGAACGCTGCCATAGGGCTTCTAGGACTTGAAGCGCATCTGACTCTTGAGAGCAAAATGAGGAACCATCATTTTGATCCATCAATGAGGCTTTTCAGCAGGGGTTTCCTGTTGTTCTAGGGACATTATTCTGAGTTGGGATGAGAGCGCCCTAAGAGAGACTGGGAAGAGGAAGACCTAGTTATATTTTGACTTTCCCCTTTTGGGGTCCTGTGAAGAGAAGTGAAACAATGAGACTAAATGGTAGAGGTAGTGGGCTTGAAGGAAAGGCAAATTCATAGACGGGGGCGGCACTGCTGTGAATGTTTATGGTGGATGACACCCAGCAGGGCTCCTCATCTAAAGAGCACCAACCTGCGAGACCCTGGATAGCCGCAGACTTGTTATGATATTTTCTGCAGTGATGTGTCATATTTCAACAGAATCAGTTAATTAAGATAGACTTCCCAAGAGGTGAGAGTAAAGCATCAACACAAAGGGGAACCGTCCTCTAATCTGTACAAATGTGCTGCATTGTCTAGCAGCAAGCAGCTCTGAAGGGTTTAAGTGTAACTTGTTTAATTTTATTATGAGCTTTAGATATTCTTGGTATTTCCAGGTGGAGACTCCTTGAAACACAGATGCAAGAAGAAGATCCAGTAAAGGAAAATCAAGAAAGGAAAAGAAAGCAAGAATAGGACAGTATCTTGGGAAATAAGAGAAAAACCTAGGGGTGACTTTCCCTGAAAGTCCAAGAAACACACGTAAACAAATGCTAGTACTAAAGGAATAATATAAGATGAAATAATGTAAGATGCAGATACCTTGATATGTAAAAAGCAATAGCTTTAATACTCTAACTAGTTAAAAACTGAAATGAAAAATGATCCAATTCATAAAAACTAGAAATAAATGTAACAAGAAAGGTAAAACTAGGAGCTGGGTGAGTGGCACCTCCTTCCTTGGGAGGCAGAAGCAAGAGGATCACCAGTTCAAGGCAAGCTGCAACTTAATGAGACCCTGTCTCAAAATTAAAAAAAAAAAAAAAAAAAAGTACTAAGGGATGTAACTCAGTGGTAGGGAATCCCTAGGTTCAATCTCCAGTACCACCACCACCATCAAAAAAAAAAAAAGGCCAAAACTATAAAACTTTATTAAAGGACATAAAAATAAGATCCCAAGGGCTAGGGTTCTAGCTCAGTGGTAGAGCACTTGCCTAGCATATGTGAGGTTTGATCCTCAGCACCACATAAAAGTAAATGAATAAAAATAGAGGGGTTGTGGCTCAGTGGTAGAGTGCTTGCCTAGCATGTGTGAGGCACTGGGTTCAATCCCTGGCACCACATAGAAATAAATAAAATAATAGTATCATGTCCATCTACAAATAAAAATATTTTTAAAAATAAGATCTCAAAACAAAGAAAGAAACCATGTACTATAGTCCTGGGTAGGGAGACTAGATATAAACTTGTCAAATCTCAGGCTAAGGATGCTCAGTGGTAGAGTGTTTGCCTAGCATGTGGGAAGCTCTGGGTTCTATCCTCAGTAACACACACACACACAAGATGTCGAGTCTTCCAAAACCATACATACAAATTTAATATAACTTGGACAGAATCACATCAGGTTTCTTACTAGTGAAGGCAGGGGTGGGATGAGGCTGTCACAACGGGGTTCTAAAGTTCACCTATAAAGTGCATATGTGGAATAGCAAGAGTCAGTAATCCAGCCTGCCCAACCATCCTGGACAACATAAGGACTTCCCAAGTATGGACACTGGCTAAAATCGATGGAGTCCTCAGGCACAGGAACAGTTAGAACACAGTTATGTGACAGACACTGGGCAAATGACCGACTTAAAGACCCCCACTTCTGACTGCCCATGGGTTATTAACAGGCTCGAACCTGTATCTACCTGGGTAGAGGTGGGCAGGACTGGAGGGGCAGAACATGATTTTGCTTTCTCTAAGTAGTTGTCAATACGTTTCTTTTTTAAAGCTTTACTAAGATAAAATTTACATACTATAAAATGTATGCATTTAAAGTGTATAATTTATCAGAAGATAGACTATTCATCCAGAAAAAATAAATTTAAAAAGTTTAAACATATTATTCACTAAATATTAGTGAATTCCTAGTTGTGTAACTCTCATTACTAATTTAAAAATATTTTCAACATTCTAAAAACAAACTCTATCAATCAGCAGTCACGGATGTCCAATCCCCTGCCACTCCCGTCCAACCCTGAACAACATAAGTGGAATCATACTATATGTGGCCTTTTATATCTAGCTTCTTTCATTCTGCATAGGTTTTCTTTTTGGTAACCAGGGATTGAACCCAGGAGCACTTAACCACTGAGCCACAACCCTAGCCCCTCCCCAACTTTTTAAAATATTTTAGAGACCGAGCCTCCATGAGGTGCTTAGGGCCTCGCTAAGTTGCTGAGGCTGGCTTCAAACTCGCAATCCTTCCTCAGCCTCCTGAACCTCAGCTTCCCAGGCCTCAGCTTCCTGAGCCACTGGGATTACAGGTGTGTGCTACCATGCCCAGCTTGCATAGGTCTTCAAGGCTTGTCTTTGTTGTAGCATGTATCCATACTTCATTCTTTTTGGGGGGCAGTTTTTGTGATTAAGCACACAAAAAACGTGCACGTCAACTATCTTTTCATTTTCTTCACTGCTCAGCCTTGGTGTTGGAACTGGTGAGCTGGGCTGCTCTTTCCAGGATGG